GTATGTATGTATGTATGTATACACACGTGAACCCTTGCTTACCTTAAGAACCGTATACAAGCCCTTTGCAGGCAGCATCGTGACTGAAGGTATGTCAGGCCTTCATTCTCTATATGCCAGATCCGAGATGGACTTGTTACTGGGTAGGGCTTCCGTAGATTAGGGTCATACAAGACTTGATCTGATGTTCATGATGCCCATCTCGTTTTGGCTGAACCCAGGCACCGAGTCGGGGATGTCGCAGAGGAGCTGCAGGAACTGGTGGCTTGCTCCAGAAGTGTTCATCCTAAACCCTGGGCTGTGAGGAAGGGTTATCAACCGCGAAACCGAGAGTCCCAATGGCCGGGTTTGCTAGAGAATCCCAAACCTTCGACCACCAACAACAGCTTGTTGGTACAGATTGGGCGTGGGGCCTTATTTCAACGCCACCCGATGAAGCCCATTCAAACACAAATCGGCGTTATGAGAGAACGCCACTGCTGAACCCAAGCCGCTGCTTTTCCAAAGCATCCTGAACCGATACGCTGAGCATAGATCCATCTTCCAGGACCTCCAAATTCAGCTTATGCCTCAGGTGCCATCTAAACCATAGACCCACAAAGCGCGTCCCTAAACCCTAAACCCTAAACCCTAAACTCAGAAACTGCCCGAAGCTCAAGCCGGTGTTTACGGCCTCTGAGCGGAGCTTCGGTTTAGGATTTGTAGGTTTTGGGGTTAAGCCGCTGGCCCGAGTTCTTCGACTCCCCAATAAAGCCCACACTTCAGACCAGAAGCCTACAACCCTGAAGCTTAAGCCAAATCATAGCACATCAGCCCCGAGACTCCCGGAATAGCAACCCCGGCGCCCTCAGCCAGGCAGAACCCAAGCACGGAACCTAAAGGACTCTCAACCAACAACTAAGTTCATTCCTTTTTGCGCGACGATAAGACGAAGAGAAGGCCAACGTCCCCTGAACCCCGAGCCCAAAACCTGTTAGGTCTCCCGTGTGCGCGTGGAAGCTCAATCCCTGGAGGTCGGCTATGAAACTAGTAACACATCATAGTGTGCTTGAGGGGACTTTAGGAGTTTATAGAGGGATCAGGGATGACGTAAGGTATGTCGCGCAGGGTTCTGATAGGTTTCAGGGGTGCCCAGGGCTTGCTTGGGCTTCGGGAGAGGTTTCTGAGGGTGCGATGAAGGGTGTTTGGAGCCTAGAGAGCTTATTTGGGGTTGAGAGGCTTCGGGCGTACATGGTTTGGGGCTCCGAGAGGGTCTAGCCTCAAAATTCGGAGGTTGTAACTTCAGGATTCATTGAGCTGCTGATTCGTGTGTGTTAGCCGCTGTTTGCCTTTATAGTGCCGAGGAGCTAGAATAGCAGCCAGAGGTGCAGGCGATCTTTGGATTGGTCCACGTAGCCTATCTGAGCCTCCAAACCCAGTCATCCCAGCTGCATACCAAGCGCCAACTTCGGATCAGTTTCTTCAGCAACTCCAGACATCTTGCCGCAAAGCCCACGGCCTTACAAGCCTACTCCCCAAACCATAACGTTCAAATACTCCTGTTCACGATCAGACCCGGGAGGCTGCAGAGGGTGCGCGGCTGGCCGTTCCCGCTGCATGTGACCCGAACTTGCTACAGGGTGTGAGAATTACTGACTGCCATTCTAGTATATAGAATAGCCAGATTAGCAAGCGGAATGCACTGACACGGCTAGTCAGATCATGTTTACATAAACGCAATATCTAGGCCGCGCTTCAATTCTATTGGACATTGGCTCAGGGGTGGGTGAAGGGCGCCCGTTCCTTCGCACAGGTTGTGGGGTGCAAGGATCCTTGTTCTGTCTCAGGGGTGGTTCCCGCTGACTTGGTGGTTCCGTGCAAAGAGCACTGTGCCAGCCAGGATAGGATATTGAATTGAGATGCTTGTCTCTGCCCATCTCTGTGAAATTAACTACAAGTAAGCTATATGCGTAAGATTGCGTGGTTACATGCAGCCAGATGTAACTCGACTAATTTATAAGCTGTTCATGTGTTGTTGCTTGTTTCTCCAGAGTTGATCTGTGTCTTTGCAGATAGGTTTTCCCTTTTCGCTGTCGCAGTTTCTTTCGTGGCTCCAACCTCCGTGAACTAAGCTGGTCAAGCCCCACGATTGTGAACGTTTAATGGTTTGGGGATTACTAATATCTGTTTCTATTCTACTATATAATACGATGTTAACTGTGATGATTGTCTAGATGAGAGTTCCTGTTAAAGTGGGGTAGAAAGCCCGCAGTGGCCCGTCGGAGCGCCTTCTTGGGGAGGTGTGGTGGACCTCGTCAACCACCTCATGGTTTGCATGCTGAACGAAGTGAAGGAGATGCAGTTGGCAACACTGAAGTTCTGAGGCGATGTGAGAGACACAGCTGTCGTGCATTCCGGGCATATCTGTAGAATCCCGAAGAAATTTCGAGCCCTCCCCAGATGCTTTTTTTCAACCTTTCAACTCAACAGACCTGCAACGACCTCGAGAGCCCTGTAGCAA